AAAATAATTAGGCTGTCTCATTGATACCATGCCACCGTTTTTCAAAGAGTTCAAACAAGGATTAATTCCAGACTGTCCCAACGACTGATGAAGTTAATTGTTTTGTTCTTAATTTTACTGTCTCACCTCACGGGTGGCGCTTTGAAAATCCAACTCACTCTCTCCTGATCCAAAATTTTTTCAGCTATTGATTTCTTGGTGTTTGGACATTGCATTGAATGCATAACATTATCTCAAGTATATTAAGTGAATATCACCGCTCTATTTCTCTTAAATATTCTTACCAAGTAGATAAGAGTAGAGAACCTTAATTGGTGGGGCAGATTAATTTCTTCATGACACCCTTGAAGTTGAAGGGGAAAGGTTACTCTCAGACATTAATGCCTTGTGTGTCCGGTGAATTCCTTTTGACTGTAAGGGATAAGAACAAATTTCTTTCATAAATGCGATGCACAAATAGTAATTTTATTATCCCACCAAGTACAACACAGGTGGATGGGGAGACCATCCCCTCCAAGCTCCAGCTTGCTAGAGCCTATAATTAAAAATTCCCTTCACACCCATCAAGTGTTGAAAATAAACCAAGGAAAAGTCTTTCTTTTCTTTCAGACTTCTTTCTCAAAGCCTAAAAGTCAACACGCATGGCATGGGCAGGTCCATCAAAGATCAAACTGCTAGCTACTAGTACTAGGAGTAGCTACTCCAAATTTAACTTCTGTTGGGAGGGAGTTTTTCAAAGTATTATTTCGCATTTACATTAAAATTTTGAGACGTTTTATTACCTCACTGAACCAGAACTTTCTTGTTAAAGGATTAATTGTTAGGAAATTGGGGTCATTGAAACTTAGAGGAAAAGTTTTGAGTCTGTATTTGAAGATTGTCTTTACTCAGTTTTATTCTTTTTGTTATTGGGTTACAAGTAAATTCGTTCTTAAAATACAACAGTCTTGAGTGAGAGATTGTAGCCGGTAAAGTTGAAGAGTCTTCGAATAAGCCTTTTATGAGACATTAGCAAATTGGACTGAGAGAGACAGGAGTGATTTCGAAAACTTATGTGTACATTTGTTTGATTCACACTCCTTAAATAATCTTTGAAGAACCATGTAACAAAGAAATGTGCTAGTTCAGAAAATGCTCTTATTGTGATTGTTAAAAAAATATTTAACAATAAATGACTGTTAACTTTGAATAGTGCCTCTTGATTACACCTGATTGAACTGTGACCATTGAATCAACGGTTAGCCTTGCACCAAAAGTCAAAATTGCCTTTACTAGTCATGTGGGTGCAAGCGCCTCATTGTGCCACACACACGTGCGTGTGAGTTGTGCGCTAGTAAGCCTCCATACTGTCCTCTTTATTTCTAAGGGGTGTAAATAAACTCTTATTTAAAAATTTAAAGCAACTTTTATAATTTTCTAATATAGGACAAGTTGAAAACTGGTTTTAGTAAGAGAGAAAACTAATTTTCAAGACATATGTGCAGATGTATTTTTCATATAATTGATCAATCAAATCCCAATAACCTTAATTTCTAATGAGATTAAAATCCAACATTAAACCCCACTTCCCCGTACCAGAATTTCCTTGATTGATTTCATTAGGGATTTTCTTATTTTCGCCTCATACTGGACTCAAGATCTCAATTCACATGAAACTCTTAACCACATCTCTTTTTTCTTTAACGTCATAGTCAAATCTCTCTTCATCATCCCCTTACTAAATATGCTATATTCACTACCGAAGTAATATTCTAGGAGCTAAAATGTTTGCATCTTTCATCTTTGTACTTGAGAAATAGAACAAAATTCAACATCTAGCTAGCTGCAACACATGCAGCAAAGCACGGAGAGTCTCAGTTAAGTCACCCTGGTTTATTGTCCTTCTCGAGGGTCCATAATATTTGCAGTAAGTTAGTAGGCAGGAATGCAGGACCGCCTGCCAGATTCCTACAATCAGGTCTGCTGTGAGCCAGTTACCTGTGAACATCTTCTGCACCTCAACCACGGAAAATGGGTTGGCCCTGGTTTGGTTTCAAGTGTCTGAAATTTTCCAAAATGTTGTTAAAAATTATGGAATTTTAGAATATCCATTTATTAATTTGTCCTACAATTTTAGAATATTATTAAAATAATATTAATATATTTTTAAATTACTAAAAGTAGTACTATTTATAACATAATCATATTTTCAGAAAAAGAAAAAAAGAAAAAAAAAACTGGAATTCCAAAACCTTAGGCAGAAAGTAATCAACAATAGTCCCTTGTTTTTCAGTGCTTTTTTTGTGTAGTATACAAGGGTGAAGAACTTACAATTACAGACAAGTCATGGCCTTTGACTCTTGCTTATAGAGTTATGGGTATCAAGATGACAGGGGTCATCTTCAGATAAGGTTAAGGATTGGGATGGCAACGAGCTGAATTTTTCATGAATTGTTTGAGTTCGGTTCGACTAGGTTTCAACCAAGCTTGAGCCCAATTCATTGGCTCGATCATCAAACAAGCCAAGTTCGAGCCTATTAGAGATCAGCTCATGAAGCTTGTGAGCCAGCTCGAATATATATTTATATACATATATATGTATTTGATATTCAATATATATATATATAATAATATTATAGAAAATAATATATATATAATAAAAATATTATAATTATTAATTATTATAATTCTTAATTTTTTAAATATCAAATAAAAAATATTTTTATATATAATTTTTTATTTTTATAAAATATTTTTATTCAAAGTCGAGCTCGAGTCGAACTGAGCTCGAGCTTATGAATTTTTGACTCGAGCCAAGCTCGAGTTCAAGGTTCTGGCTCGAACTGAGCTCGAGCTCGAGCCTTGTAGAATAGTCTTGAGCCAAGCTCGAGCCTCATACTATTCGGCTTGGCTCGGCTCAAATCCACCTCTATTGGAAAGGAAGATACTTATCAAAGGGAGGGAAGGTGGTTTTAGTAAAAGTGTTCTTTCCTCCCTTCTCATTGATTTACCTATTATCCCTGTTCCTCATTCCAGCCAACATGGCTAAGATGATTGAAAAGAGAGTGCAAAATTTCTGTGGGATGGATGGAAGAATGAATTTAAATTGCATCTAGTCAATTGATAAAAAAATGATAAAAAAAATTGCATCTAGTCAAGTGGAACAAAGTATGTAGTCCAAAGAAAGCAAAGGGTTTGGGGGTGAGGAAGCTAAGGAAGTTCAATATAGCTTGTCTTGCCAAGTGGCTTTGGAGGTGGAATGAACAACCTAATGCTTTATGGAGAAGGATTATTCTAGCTAAATATGGTGCAGGTGATTCAAACTGGGAACCAGCTGAGTCAAGAATGTCTTATGGGTGTGCCGTGTGGAAAAGAATTTAAAAAGCTCTTGTGGAGTTCAGAAAAGGAATCAGGTATACTGTGGGAGATGGCTCAAAAATCAAATTCTGGACTGATACTTGGTGTGGGGATCATCCTCTTAATCAGAACTACCATAACCTCTATGAGATTGCTCAAAGTAAAGACTGCTTGGTTGCTGAGGCTTCTCTTGGGTAGGAGATACAGCAGTTTGGTGTCCGGTGTTTAGAATGAATCTAAATGACTGGGAGATTGAGCAGTGGATGGAGATGACGCAGCAGCTATCTGGCATAGCTCCTGGATTCATGAGTAGGGATAAGAGAAATTGGAAGTGGGATAAACCAGGAATTTTCTCAGTATGATCCTTCTATAATAAGCTCACGGAGGCAGAGATGGTGGATTACCCAGAAGCTGTAGTGTGGAATACCACAGCCCCTCCAAAAGCTGCTTTTCTATTATGGGTGGCAGTGTTGGGCAAGTGTTTTGGCAGTGGAGGTTTTGGCTAGGAGAGGACTGAGTGTGCTGCCTAGCAGGTGCATAATGTGTGGGGAAGCTTCAGAAGATTCAGATCACCTATTGATCCACTGTAGAGTTGCTCGAATCCTTTGGGCAAAGTTTTTAGGTCTATTTTAAGCTCAGTTCGGTTTCTCAGAAAATCTATTAGCGGCGCTGCAGCATTGGACAATATGGGGGAGTAGGACCAGCTATAGTGGTTTGGACAATATGGACGGAAGGAAACAAAAGGCTGTTTGGAAATAAGTTTGTCACAAGGAAAATTTATGTAAAGTATTTTGGGGTAGGATGGGTAGGAAGACAAACGATTCGGGAATATACCATATAGCTCTTTTTGTAATTCTGGAGCTCTTTTTGTATCTATGCACACAGGGTGTACAATTTAGAAGATGTACAGTTCTTGATTGGGCACTGCACAGCTCCTTGATTGGGCACTGCACAGCTCCTTGTTTATCGGCCGATACGTATCGTATTAGTGGCCTCCTAATACGCCCCTACAGGGGGTGTTTCAGGGTCTGACCTGGTTCAGGGGGTAGACGGGCCTTAAACCGACCCCTCTAAACCAGTTTGAAAAAAAAAACTAAAAATAAAAAAAAGCAAGCCAAGATACAGTTTGAATCTTGATTTTATTTATTGAGATGATGCAAGGGTGGGTACAAGTTCTTCACTTTCTGCTTCTGGATTTAATGGTGCTTTTGTACCAACCATTTGCTAAGAATAACAACAATTGGAAGGAAAAATGGGAAAGAACAAAAACTTTATATTCATTCACTTCTTCCTTTGTTTAACTTTCACATAGCCAAACAAGGTGTATTCATCCAACTCAAGGCCTGAGGTGTGGAAAGAACTGTCTATCTGATGGCAGTAGATAGTGTAATTTGGTCAGCAAACAAGCTGACCTGATGTCAGCAAATTGTCCAAGGTCTGGGATCCATACGGCCTGGTCTGATTGCGATGGCCATTGAGATTGGTTGCAAACATATTCAGATTATGGCATGCTTGATCTGATCCAACCATTGAATATCTTGCTTTACACTTTGCCATTATTGCAATTGTTGTTTGGAGAATTTCTTGAAATTTATTGATCAAAAGATTCAATTATCAAATACCTAGTCTATGACATTTAGATGCATTTTCCACATTTGATTCAGGTGCAAAAAAGAAACATAGAAAAGAAACAATTGCACTAAAGCGTCGAGAGAGAATGATGCGCCGTGGTGTTGATCTTGAACAAATAAATTCAGTAAGAAGCGTTGCTTTATGATTTTTTTTTTTTCTGAGTGCATAGTTATTGATGATTTTGGATGTATTTTGTTCTTTCTGTACATTTTACTTTTGATTGATCTAGAGCTTAATTCAAAATTTACTTATATAATTTGACAAGCATGTTGCATTCCATCTCTTTATGGTTTTAAATTTGTCATACCCTTAATTATATGGTTGTATGTAAGGGTCAAAGTATCATATTGATTTTCAGGGTCATCGATGTGCTAATACAGCAGAGTTGGGTTGTTTCAATTGTTTTATATGTTAAATGGCGGCGATGTGATGACTACTGTTAAATTGTCAAATAAAAACAATTATACAGAGAAAGAATATCGGTCTATCAAAACTCTCGATATGTCAATTTCTTGTATTGAGGGTATTCATACTTTGAACCTTGGCTATATATAATAATACAAGTGGGCTAATTGGGTGATTTAATTGTCTTGTGTGGTTTGTAGGGTTTTTAAACAGCCGTATGTTTGTAAGATTTCTTGTAATTGTTATTTTATGATGTTGAATGTGCAAGGAGTGATTTATTGCTTATTTGAGCTGTGGTCTCTTGAGCTTGATCAAGGTTTTGCTAGTCAAACCTTTTCGTTTAGATAAAAAAGGCCATAACCAAATGTTGGTCCCTGCTATCTGGTGTCTTGGGAGGGGTGAACTGGATACAGTCCTAATCTTTTGGTGTTTTTTCACACAAAGTGGCCTCTCTCAGACTTGAATCCGTTTTCTCATGCTTGATAGAGATTTTACCATTACAGCAAGTAACAGCCCCTAAATCTTTTTGTTTAGGTCCATTCTTGCTTTTTCTTTTCTTTTTTGTTTGGGAGGTGTTTTTAATGTTATTTTCCTTTAACTAAAGTAAACTTTAAGCTCTGTCTTAGAGGCTATGGTGAAAGTGAAACAATGGCAAGATGAATTTATTCCATTTATTGTTCATGGCATTTCCATTTCTTGCCTTTTGGAAATGAACTCAATTGAAATAATATTTTTTTTGTGCTATATTCTATAGATATTGGGCCCGTTTGGCGCATCTTTTTTGGGAAGATCTTCTGGTAGTTTTGATAGTCAAAAGACGCATTGAGCTTTTGCATGAAGATCTGAGCAGCCCGAAGCACGTTTGGTAGACACACGTCTTTCCGTGTCTTTCCGCGCGAGAATAAAACGCGAAAGACGTGAAAAGCTTCATTTAGAGCTTCCCGAAATCAGCCCAAAATGGGCTTTTCGTGTCTTTTCGACGCTCCAGCTTTTGGTGGCTAGATCTTCCGCGCACCAAACGGAAGTAGACCGAAAATCAGTCTGCTTGGCTTATAAACAGCCAAAAGGCCGTGCGGAAAGACGCGCCAAACGGGCCCATTGTTTTCAAAATGAGATCATTTTAGGAATTGAAGAAAAATTGTATTCAAAATCATTGGTCAATTACTTGGACCCCAACTTAAAAATGGACAGAACCTTCCCCACTCTGTCACTTGTAGTCCAAATTTGAGGTTTCAATACTTGGGCTTGGTCTTGCTGTTATCGGAAACGTTATTCCATTACCTATTCAACAAGCCTTATATTGTATGATTTGAACATATCCCAAATGAGTTATGGGCCTTAGTTCTGTTAGAGAGGTTTTCCATTACTCATCCAACAAGCTTGTTATGAAGGATCATTACCAAAATGAGTTATGGGACCCTCTCTCTCCGTTCTTATTCACTCTAGTAGCAGAAGTGCTAGGAATTCTTTTCTAGAGAGCAGATTTAAGGGGTTTGGTGAGAGGTTGGAGAGTGGGAAGAGAAAGAGTGCCTATTACTCATTTGCAATTTGCCGATGATACTGTCCTATTCTGTAAGGGAGGTGATCTAAGTTGGGTGAGGAATATGTAGGAGGAGATACAAGTCTTTGAGAAAATGACAAATCTGAAAGTTAACTTCAATAAGACTTGYGTGGTAGATATCAACATGGAAGATGAAGAAGTAATTGAATGTGC